AGGGTCCTGGGATCGAGCCCCGCATCAGGCTCTCTGCTCCGCGGGAAGCCTGCTTCTCCCTCTCCCACTCCCCCTGCTTGTGTTCCATCTCTCGCTGTGTCTCTGCCAAATAAATAAATAAATAAAATCTTAAAAAAAAAAAAACTATTACTGTCTGCATTTTAAAAATGAGGAAATTCAGGCATAGAGTGGTTTATATCTTGCCCAAGATTACCCAGCTAATAAATGATGGTGCTGGGAAATGGACTTATCTGTATAGGAGTTCAGAGCCCCACTCTTAATCCCTCTGCTATCTTTTCTGCACCTAGCATTTTATATTTACATGTATTTACACACATATACATTTGTGTATATATAACATACGTATAGCATCCATCTAAACTTATGGGTGTGTATGGGGCGCCTGGGTGGCTCAGATGGTTAAGCGTCTGCCTTCGGCTCAGGTCATGATCCCAGGATCCTGGGATCGAGTCCCGCATCGGGCTCCCTGCTCCTTGGGAGCCTGCTTCTCCCTCTGCTTCTCTCTCTCTTTCTCTCCCTCTGTCTCTCATGAATAAATAAATAAAATCTTTACAAAAAAATAAAATAAAATAAACTTATGGGTGTGTATATGTATAAAAAATTCAAGTAAAGGTAGTTAATTGTTTTAATCAAAGCTCCATGGAGTATAAAATGAAGTATAAAATGAACAATACCTTAAAATGTAAACCTTGACTGTGTTTTCTGTTATGTTTCATCTTATCTCAAGAATGTGCTGTTGAATATCTAATCAAGGTAATTTTTTTGCCTTATTTGGTTTTTTTGCCAGGGGGAAGAGGGTAAGTTTTTATTTTGGTATAACTTACTATTTTTGACAAATAAAAATTGTATGTACTTAAGATGTACAACATGATGTTTTTCTTTTTGGTATATGTATACATTGTGAAATGATTCTCACAATCAGACTAATTAACATTTTCATTACCTCTCATGGTTACCATTCTTTTGGTGCTGAGAACCCTTGATATCTACTCTCTTAGCAGATTTCAAATATACAATATATTATTATATATTACACATAATTATTAAATATATTAACTAATGTATTAATAATAACATAATGGTACATTATTAACTAATATATACTTGATATAATTTTTTTTAAGTTTCAGAAATAGTGCAAGGAACTTCTGGATAGTCTTTATTTAGATATACCAATTGTTTATGTTTGCTTTCGCATTCTCCCTATTTATACACACACTTCAAATTTTTTCTGAACCATTTTACATAAGTTGCAGACATCATGTCCCTTAATCACTAAATACTTCATTATTTCTTAGAATAAGGACTTTATCATTATACCATCATTATAAAAATTAGAACTTTTTTTGGTCATGAGTTCTTTTGAAATTTCTTTTTTTTTAGACACTTTAGGCTCAGAGTTCCTGCAGGGCATTCTATACACACACACATCAATTGTATATATTTAAGGTA